GAGCCAAAGGCGGCATTCATGCCGAGTTGGGCTCCACACTCTGGGTGGCACAACGTGTTGCGTGTGCCCTTGAGGAGAGCAAGCGAGAGAAGTCTCTCACCCAAGAGAAGTCTCTCACCCAAACACTCGCACGCAAACTGTTCTGTTCTGGCCGTGCGTGACGCTGCGCGACTAGACAGATCGCTAAACACTTGCCCAACAATGTACATGAAGACAGAATGACCTTCTGAAGTTCCTTCTATTTACTGAAACCACTTGTATATATAAGAATAGGTTTTAGCCTTTCTGGCAATACAACAGGTGTTAAGATGTTAAAACACCAAACAAACCTTTTGCAAGGAATCCTGTCTGCATTAACCACGCGTACTTGTGTTGAATATGTAATCAAATACATCCTCTTATAATATATGCATTGTCTTTGAAATTGATTGGTCCACACCAGAGACAGCTTTATTTTAAAGCCTAGTCTCAAAGTGTGAGACCACAGAATGACAAAAGACGAAAAGCACGAAGACAATGCATTATGAGGGCATTTATAGCTCGGGTTCAGCGGCTACAATATGGGACCTTTCTTGCCAGTATAAGAGATAGAGAGCTGTGATTGGCAGAAGCAAAGTCGATTCTGTCCTTGTACCCAGTCAAACCTGAACACCATTTGTAATTTTGGACTCCCCTTCAAAATCCCAGGACTATCTTATTATTTGTCCATGGATCGATAAAAGAGTGCATTGGAGTTCTGAAGGGAGCCACCAAAAGCCTCTAACTCTGATCAGTTAACATTCCTACATCTACTCAAAGCACACATGCCGGAAAAGTTGGAGTTCTGTTGTCACCCGCTCACTGGCAGTCAGTCGCCTCCTTATCACTCTTAGGGGCCGTCCATAAATGACGTCACGCGATTTTGGACGATTTTTGGCCCCCCTCCTCGTCACACGGCGTCACAAAAAGTCAGACCCACCCCCTCTCAAATATGACGTCACAAAGCTCTGCTCCCCCCCCCCTAAAAATCATATTTCCATTTTGAAAATAAAACATGCTTCAAATCGCCTTAAACTATTGTCATTGTAGTGCATATTTAATCTGGCGCTGCACTCTGATGTTGTAGGAGTGTTGTTATAACAATTCTATATTCATATTCTTGGTTCTTTCGGTAAAGTCACGTAGAAGGGAAACAATAAAATAATAAAAATATAAAACAATACAATGATTGTTTTATATTTTCTATTATTTAAAATATAAAACAATACAATTTTTAATAAAGGTTTTTTTTGGGTTAGATCGCGTTTATTTATAAATGTGTCGTAACCCTCCACCACCCGACACGGCCAATCAGCAAAAAAAGTGTCACGTTGACAAAAGACAAATAATTCACTACTTCAGCCCACCGGTGTGTTGAAGAGTTAATCCACATTTACAGTTTGAGTACGATGTTTCGCTGGTAAATACATCCAGCATCATCAAGCAATTCGCCAGAATGGTAAAGCCCTCGCTTGCTCCTGGTTTTTATATAGAGCAGCAGGGTGACGTCATCACTTAACTCATCAGGTGCAGTGATTAGAGGCGGAGGGCGGGGTATTGTAATTATATAATCGATTAGTAATCAGTCATTGGTTATGATTAGTAATGAGTTGTAGATTAGTAATTCTTTAAATGTAATGTGTATTATTTAATAATACGCTTCCAGGCCGCACTAAGCCGGTAGCTGTCAGAGCGATTAAAGTTATTCTTGTTCCTCTCAATTTCAATGGATTCTCTAATTAGTCTTTGCCAGTAATAATTCGTTTTACACACCACTGCAACATTGTCAAAATCAATTGAGTGTCCTTGTTGACAAGCATGTTCTGCCACTGCCGACAGTTGTGTTTGAGATAATTTAATATTTCTCTGATGTTCTTTTAGTCTTACGCTGATGTTACGTCCCGTCTGCCCAATGTAGCAGCTGCCACATGAACAATTAATCCGATATACACCTTCTGTTGATAGTTCAGGTAATGCATCTTTAGTGCAAGATACTAGTTTTTGAATTTTGTGTACTGTACCAAATCTTACTGTAATGTTTTGCTTTTACAGAACACGGGCTAATTTGTCAGTTACTCCTGAGATATATGGAATTTTTATTGTTTTAACAATCTGGTCGCTTTCAGTAGTATTGCTTTGCGATCGTGATTTGGCATTCAGTGCTCTGTTAATTTGAGCATTGTAGCCATTCTGTCGTAGTGCGTCTTTAACGTGTTTAATCTCTCTCACTAGACTCTCACCATCTGACACTGTTTTCGCCCGATGTACGAGCGTCTTAATAAGAGAGGATTTTTGAGCTGGATGATGATGTGATTCTGCATTCAGATAGGCATCATTGTGCATTTGCTTTCTGTAAACGCTGTGTGTTATTTTACCGTTTAGGCCATGTCCAAGCAAAATATCTAGGAATGGGAGTGTGTTATTCACCTCCATTTCCATGGTGAACTGGATGGCCGGGTTTTGTGCATTGAGATGATTTAGAAAATCATTAAGTGTATCTTTACCATGTGGCCAGACAACCAAAGTGTCATCCACATACCTAAACCAAAAGGATGGTTTTAATGTGCTTGAGGCAAGTGCTCTTATTTCAAAGTTTTCCATGTACAAATTTGCTATAGCAGGGGATAAAGGAGAACCCATTGCTGCTCCTTCCTTTTGTTTAAAGAAATCCCCTCTCCATAAGAAGTAAGTGTTATTTAAACAATGGCCAGCAAGTTTCGGAATATCTTTTTGTAAACCGGTATTCTTTACTAGTGTATCAAGTAATTTAAGCGATTCGTCCACTGGAACCTTAGTGAATAGAGAAATCACATCAAAACTTACCAGAATATCATCAGGAGTAAGTTTAATATCTTTAATCACATTCACAAGATGTTCTGAATTTTTTTATGAATGAAGATGTCTTACCGATGTAGGGCTGTATTTGTTTGGTTATATATTTTGCCAATTGATATGTGGCAGAGCCAATTGTACTGACTATGGGTCGTAATGGGATGCCGATTTTATGAATCTTTGGTAGCCCATAGAGTCTAGGTGGTTTTGAGGCCCTTGGCTTAATTAGGTATTGCTCATTTTTAGGGATTAATGAATTTGCAATTATTGCAGTGGTCTTACATTCTAAAGTATTAGTTGGATCTCGTTTAATTTTAATGTAGGTACTTTCCTCTAGTAAATTTCTAATTTTATTATCATAATCGGCTCGTGACATCACTACAGTAGTGCGGCCTTTATCAGCTGCTAGGATTTGGATATCCTTATTTACACGCAGCTCTCTTAAGGCTTTTGCCTCGTTAGAGCTAATATTTACTTTTGGAACTTTGCTATTCTCAATTATTTTAGCAACCTCATGTCTAGTCATCTCTGCCTCATTATGTGGAAGGAGTCTAACTGCTGATTCTACCTCAGCAATTATCTCATCCACTGGAATTGTGCGTGGGGTAACGGCAAAGTTAAGGCCTTTAGAAAGGATAGAGACCATGTCACCGGTTAATACAGTGTTGGTCAAGTTCAGTACAGTTTTGTTTTTACATTTTTGGTTTTCAGTAGGGATTTGTTTATTATGTAGTCTAGAAAATGTATTAATTTGGTTAATTTTTGTTAGTTTAAACACATTATCAACCGATTGTTGTGTTATGTTATCGATTATATTCCAATAATGCATAGATACACTATTGCTTATATCTAAGTGTAACTGCTTTAGCGATTCCGAAATGTAAGATAATTCACTCCTATTGTGCTGTATTCTCTCTATTAATAATAATTCGCTAGCTTTGTGTAGTATTTGGTTAGCTTTAGAAGACTTTATGTGATGTGTTATTTTAACTGCGTTTGGTATTACCTTTGAATCTCTGCACCTTTTGAGGAACGCCAGTGAAGATATCAATTTCATCCGCTTAATGCGAAGCTTCTCCAATTTTCTGGTTTTAAGAAAAGTATCCTCCCCATAGAGGTTAGTCAGTTTAACACGTAGGCTTTCGCGACCAATATTATTCATAATAAAGGTTTTTTGGGTTACGACACATTTATAAATAAACGCGATCTAACCCAAAAAACCTTTATTATGAATAATATTGGTCGCGAAAGCCTACGTGTTAAATACAATTTTTGTTTTATATTTGTATTATTTAAAATATAAACAATAATTTTATTGTTTTATATTTTTATTATTTTATTGTTTCCCTTCTACGTGACTTTACCGAAAGAACCAAGAATATGAATCCCTGCAGTCACGAAAGTTTTAAAACTAAATTTTATTCTATAGTCATTTAAAGTTGCGCATTTTGATGTGACCCCCCCCCCCCCCCCCCAGGTGCGTGACGTCATTTATGGACGGCCCCTTACGTCACTACTGTCATAATCACTGTTCCCATAAATGTCACTAATTGACTCCTCTACCCATGTTGAGGAATCAGAATCTGTATTTACACTGGAGGAATCCGATGAGCTATGAAGCTCTTTTTCACGCGTCCAGTAAGTAGGTCTACCAGACTCTTTACCAGTCTGCCAGACTGTTTCATCCTCATACAAAACATCCACACCATGTACAGCCATCACCGCACTGCACCACGTGTCTCCCTCTGCTCCTGGCCACGCACTGCTCCACTTTGGAATTCCGTCCTCCCATCATCGCCTCTCTTCCCAAGCTCTCACAATAACCTTGTTCAATTCACGAAACGTGCTACACTCATATGTTACAATGTTGGCAGTGCTGATTGTTGCTGGCCACTCGACTTTTTCAGCCTTTGGGCCCTGTGCTCAGGAACCGTGTGTAATGACTAAACTTGGCACCCACATTTGACTCGAGTGTCACCTTACAGGCAACTATAAAACAGATGAATTTACAAGTGCGATATTACGTAATCAGCACATGCAAATGAGCTGGTGACGTTCACTGCGAACACAGAAAATGCCTTTGAAATGAATGCGATGCCCATGATGCAACAGCAATGGTGGTGTTACCCACAGCTCGCCGATTTCGTTACCTCCTTGGGAAAAAGCGTCTTCTTTTGGCCTCTTATCCAGCACTCGCACACAAACATGGTCGTGCATCCACCGCTCCGCTCCTTGATCACAAGTTGTTTTAAACTCCAAATAGGAAACGAAATGTCCCATCGTTGTCAACTGTAATACTCTTGATTCTCCCAAGAGGGTCCAGCTTCACGAGGAACTCGTCAATCTGTAGAGAAAGGATTTCTATTCAATTCGAAATCAAGTCTAACAAAGAACTCAGCTGGTGCAAAATCTGACTGCGACTTCCGACAGACTTGAGGAGGCTTTCAGGCGTGAGGAGGTCCTTAGCACGCGTTAAACGGTAGTGATGTTCATCCTCGTTGGGGCTCATGAGTGCAGGGAAATCATAACGGAGAACGAGGAGGTAATACGTGTACTTGGCTTAATAACTTTTAACATGGGAAAACGTACTCTTTGGTTCTTTCGGTAAAGTCACGTAGGTGTAAAATAAAATAAATTAAATCACTACGTTTCGGGCGCAACAAGCGTCTGTCATCAGGTGGAACAACAACACCAAGAAACAACTGCTGAAGTGGGTAGGACTCCCGTAATACGAGAAGAAAGGGGGGGGGCAGGGAGGAGAGGGGGGGTACTGCCGGATGAAGAGCAACTAGAAAGGATCAAAGGGCAAAAGGAGACGCAAAAGCAAAAGGGTGAAGATGCAGATATGAAGGCAACACCATAACGCATTTAAGGTTTTACCTGGTTAATAACATCCTTCCAATGACTGCTCAATTTGTATCCATCTCCTCGGTTGAAGTTATGTCTATGTTTATATATCTGGATGGCTTCATGAACAAACCTTTGATAGTAGCCCGAAGGTTTGCAGAGCACCTTGGTCTCGGAAAAAAACAATATCATGAGAGCCCACAGCGTTATAGCAATGGTCAGCCACGGCAGAGGTATTAGTTCTGCCGTGTTTCAGATCTGCCTTGTGCTCGTGAACACGGTCCGAGATATGTCGTTTCGTTTCCCCAATGTAACAATCACCACAGGTGCAACTTAGTTTGTAGACTCCCGGATATTGCATATCAGGAATGACATCCTTCACAGATGGGATTATATCACGGATTTTGTGTACTGTACTGAATCGGACCTGGATCTTGTGCTTGTTTAAGATTTTGGCAATCTTTTTGGTAATGCCTGCTATGTATGGTAACGTGATAGTTTTGATCGGCGTCTCAGGGGGTTGTTTCTCCATGGTTGGAGAAACAGCTTTGTGGATAATGTGGTCCGAATATCCATTCATCTGAAGGGCCTAGTGTACGTGTTCCAGTTCACTGGCTAGGTGGTGTTGGTCGGGAATGCAGTGGGCCCTATGGTGTAGTGTTATGATGAGGGAATTCTTCTGTGCCGGATGGTGGTGGGAATCAGGTTTCAGATGGCAATCTGTGTGGGTGGCTTTCCTGTAGAAAGAGTGTCCCAAAGAGCCATCAGGTTATTTCTCAAACAAAACATCCAGGAATGGTAGCTTACCATCCTTCTCCACTTCCATGGTGAATTTAATGGATGGGTGTATGGCATTAATGTGGTTGAGAAATTGGTTCAATGCTGGCAGGCCATGTGGCCAAATGACGAAAGTGTCATCCACATATCTCTTCCACAAGGAAGGACGAAGGGTGGACGTCTGGATGGCATCTGGGAAAACGATCGTTTAATGAATATTCGCTTACCGAGTAATTTTCGCAGACCGTATCTCACTCGTTAAGCAAGACACGCCTGTATTTGGCTTCACAACGCAGGCATGCACATTGCTGTTCATAGTCTGCAATGTCCACTCTGGGGTGCCTACAACTTGATCAGTCCACCTTCAGAAGCTGCTCTCGGTATGCGCGCTGTGTTTTGCATTATTCTGGCTGTCGCCTGATGAGGCTGGTTGTTGTACTTACCGGCCAAACGTTGTACTCTATTGTACATTTTGTGGGTTTACTCTCCAACACACCGGTGTGCTGAGCTAGTAACGATTGGCATGTTGTGTTGTCATGACAAAGTTTACTAATTGGCTGCCTCGGGTGGTGGCGGGTTGAACGAGGCATTTATATATTTATATATTTACGCGCTCTAACCCAAAAAACCTCTATCATGTATGATATTGGTCGCGAAAGCCTAACGTGTTAAACTGTTTTCGCGCTATGTCGTGTCTCAGATGCCTTCAGTTGTTTAGAGAGCAAGTGACGTTTATTTAGTGTTGCAATTTTTTTTTATCTTGAGCCCCACTTTGCAGCCTTTTATATTTTGTTAATTTAGTCTGGTTTGTTGCTATTGACGATGCCATGAAGGAATTAGAGGTGGTCAATATTTTCTCTACTTATATTTATTTCTGCCTCCCATTTTGGTAGAAACATCTTCAAATGATGCTGAGAAAATCTGCATGAGCAAGCTAGGGATAGCAAAGCTTTCTTTACCATTGACCACACACAGACAGGGGAGAGCAATGAGTGCCTCTGAATAGTTGAGCGTGAGGATGAAGACGAACATGGCAACGTGGCTGAAAAAGAGTTATCAATCAGTGCGGACCGCCGGCCCCAACATGGATTAGAACGTGGACTCTTGACAAGAAAAGGAACAAAAGCCGAAAGATGCACACCTGGGGGTGCTGCATGCAGGAATTACACTGAGAGACGGAAACAGGATCACGTGCATCACAGAACAAGCAAAACAAGGCACTGGATTTGTATCCGTGAGTCCGGTGGCCAAGCGGAAGTTCTGCAGCCAGATGGGGCAGCCGAACTTGTATGTCGCATGTCCACTGTGCAGCAGCTGCGGGATCCGGCAGAGGGTAGACCGCTTTGGCGAGGAGTTGGCGTCAGCGACTCCAGCCGTGATTGACAGGAAAAGTAAATGGGCTGGGAGAGGAGGTGTCTCTAGGCGGACCGAGGGAGCCATGGACGAGACTGGCAGCTAAAGGAGGGAATGACCTCTGCCGCGGAGATGTTTCCTGTTATTGTTTATTTAAATATTTAACCTGGAAAATCCCTCCCGGGGGGCATCTCACTGCCAAACGAGTACTCGCACGAATACGCCCATGTCATGTTAATTACGTTATTTTCACTACAGCGCTACGAATGTGGTTTATATAGTTCAATATATATGTTAATTATGTTGCAGTTACTCTGTATTTCTCTATTAGGATGCTGTTATTATCGTTATGAATGTGACTGCAACCCAGCACACTCGTTACGGGGACCTGCACGGTGGTTGCACAAAACCAGCTAATGTTGAGCTCCTGATTGCAGCCATCTCTGCCTCATCCTCCGGTTAAGACGCCACTTGGCCTGCAGATGCAAGTCCATTCCTTGCGAGTAATTGCACTTCAATTTGTTTCGATCAAATCTCACACTCTAAAAAAAGTAAAATAATTTGAAATCACTAACCTGGCCACTTTGAAACGCATTCTGGTTTCTTGTTGAATGTTTGAGTTGTATCTCTTTTGTGACACGGTCCCCATAGATCCAAATGCGTACATTGGCGTCTGTCCCGGCTCCAGACTCAGTTCCCGTGTAAACAGTCACGTTGTACTTCCATTCTCCCGACTCTGCGACGGAATCACGCACACACATTACACGCGGCACGCACTTTCCCGCACACCCGATTAGCACGGTTGGCTAGGGTACGGCGCGAACGAAGTTCAACATACACGCGTACAGACTGAACGAGGTTCCACCGAGCGCCGCGCTCGCTAACGCGCTGCGCTGGCTGCGACCTCCATCGGCTGTCAAACTAAACAAGCGCAGTGCACGCAGTCCCCGACTTACGAACCGGTCACAGGAACTAATGGTGTTCGTAAATGGATGGTCAGTGCAGGCAATAAATCCCAGTATGGACCAGTGCCATTCGTCAGCGCCCATTACGTTCTCCACGGAACCACACTCTGCCACCTTTGTCTACCTACTTCAGGTACTCGTTTGAAGGCCGAGTCGACCTAGAGGAGGCCCAGGACCGGATCAGATATTCGTCATCTAAAGCGAGGTGCACCTCAGGTCGGCGAGTTTGTAAAGCAGTGCGCGAGCCGCTGTGCTACCACATACACTGATTACATGCGCACACCGATGAATTACACACACGGGGATGCTGGCACAACTGCCTCTCTCTTACCTGCACCGCGAGTCAGAGCCACGAGGCCCAGCACCGTAACGAGATGGTTGGAGCATGGCTCCCGACAGCAAACAGAGCCCCTCACGGGCTATTCCCTTGCAGCTCACTGCCCCTTCCCCAGTCACTTTTGATAATCTCCCACTTCCTCCCACGCCCACTCTGCCATGCTGCGTCTCTCAACTTCTCTTTTTCGTTTCCTGCATCTTATATGCACAAATCCGCCAGCTTATTTCATTATTATAATTGCATCATTTTATTAAAAGCTTTCGTGACTGTAGTGATTCATATTCTTGGTTCTTTCGGTAAAGTCACGTTGAAGGGAAACAATAAAATAATAAAATATATATAAAACAATAAAATTATCACGACGTTTCGACTGCAACACAAGCAGTCATCATCAGGTTATGAAAATCAACGGCAAGAACATTTGAAAGAAGTGGCGGTTTATATTTATTTATTTTAAAATGTTAGCACCACGGACAGCGATGTAGTGGAGTACGAAAGTGCGTGGTGGAGGTGGCGTAATTGCATAATCACACAGACAGTATGGGTTATCTTGGGTCAGCCTGTAGCGAAGGCAAAAACAGTATGGGTCATGTTAGGACAGCCAGGTGCAAGGGCTGGGATGATGAGGTAACGGTTGCGCCAATTAAGGGCGAGGAGGCGTCGAGATGTCTGGAGAAAGACAGGTGTTTGAGGACCCGAAGCGTGGGCAGGCACGCGGGCCAATTAATTAGGGGTAATGAGAATGGAGATAAATTGGGGAGACACACAGAGAGCGGGGAGTTGGGAGCTGGACGAGGCAAGACGTGGAGTTGGGAGAGCTTGGAGTCGTCAACAGGGGGAATTGACGTGTGGAGAGTTGAGAGACAGAGTTTGGAAGACAGAGTTGAGAGACAGAGTTGAGAGACAGAGTTTGGAAGGAGAGAGCATAGCGATAGCGAAGCTGAACAAAGACGAAGTAGTTAGCAGTGGAGTGAGCGTAGCGATAGCGAAGCTGAACAAAGGCGAAGTAGTTAGCAGTGGAGTGAGCGTAACGATAGCGAAGCTGAACAAAGACGAAGTAGTTAGCAGTGGAGTGAGCGTAGCGATAGCGAAGCTGAACAAAGGCGAAGTAGTTAGCAGTGGAGTGAGCGTAGCGATAGCGAAGCTGAACAAAGACGAAGTAGTTAGCAGTGGAGTGAGCGTAGCGATAGCGAAGCTGAACAAAGACGAAGTAGTTAGCAGTGGAGTGAGCGTAGCGATAGCGGAGCTGAAGAGAATAGCCAGCAGTGGAGTGAGCATAGCGATAGCGGAGCTGAAGAGAATAGCCAGCAGTGGAGTGAGCATAGCGATAGCGGAGCTGAAGAGAATAGCCAGCAGTGGAGTGAGCATAGCGATAGCGGAGCTGAAGAGAATAGCCAGCAGTGGAGTGAGCAGAGCGATAGTGGAGCTGAAGTCGCTGTGTGCGAAGACGCTGTGTGCGGAGTTGCTGAGCGCGGAGTTGCTGAGTGCGGAGTTGCTGAGCGCGGAGTCGCTGAGTGCGGAGTCACTGAGTGCGAAGCAAGCGAAGTAATCGTGGGGAGTGAAGAGACAAAGGTGGCGAGCGAGTCGAGTGAAGCACGGCGAGCGAGCCGTGGCGACCTGGATATTGTGGAATGTGGAGGACGAGAATTGTAAATAAAGCGGCGTTCGAAGAAAGACTGAAGTTGTCCGAGTGAAATCGAACACTACAGCGATTTGACAGTTTGTTTAGATCAGGGGTCTCAAACGCAACTTACCTGGGGGCCGCTGGAGGTAGAGTCTGGGTGAGGCTGGGCCGCATCAAGTATTCCAAAAAAAGTACAACTGATCCAATCTTCTCAATCTTTATTAATAACAGTTCAGAACATGAACGGTTCTTCAGAACATAGGCTTCTCTTACCTACTCCTTGCTGCCAGAGACCTGGCAGCGCTTCCTCTTCTTACACAGCTGAGCCACATTTGGCTTGAGGGAGGAAGCAATTGAGACCCTCAGTAAGTTTGGACCTGTACTTTGACTTATTAAAGTTCATGGTGCAGAAGAGCTTTTCACACAGATATGTGCTCCCAAAAAGGCACATGGTCCACTTGAACATCCTGGAAAGCTCAGGGAAGGTGGGGAGCAATTCTTTCAAAAATTGTCCAAGCTTGTATGCTTTTGCACTCACCTCCCTGAACTTGGCTTTGAGTTCAGAATTGCACTGCAGGTCAATCAGCTCCATTTGAAGCACAGGAGAGGCATCTTGCACATCGAAGGAGAAGGGGTCAGCAAAAATTTGAAAAGTGGCGCTGTGTGTCTTGAAGTCTGCAAACCTGTGATCAAATTCCTCCTGTAGCTTTACAATGGCATCAGCATACTTCTCACCACTGAATGGTGTGCCCGCGTCCATGAGTGCCTTGCATGCTGGGAAATGGCAGAGGTTTGTCTGAGAGAGCTGGGATTTTCATAACACAAGTTTTGTGGAGAATGCTCTGACTTTGTCATAGGCAGCACTGACAAGCTGCCCCTGGCCTTATAACTTCTTGTTTAGTACATTCAGCTCCTGTGTGATGTCAACAAGAAAAGCTAAGTCCATGAGCTATTTGGGATCACTTAGCACAGGAACAGCCATCCCATCCTTCTCCATGAAGGCTTTCACTTCTGCTCTCAACTCAAAAAACCTCTTAAAGACGTTTCCCCCTGGCGCAGAGCTGCCGGTGCTTTAAGCCCCTGGATCTGATATGGTTGATGCATTTCACAACGACAGACATCACATTGTCAAACTTCAGGCATTTGCTGCAAAGGGCCTGCTGATGGATAATGCAGTGCAGAGCAATGGCCTCCTCAACACCCTCCTCTTCCAGTTTTCCTTGAACAAGTGCTTTTTTGGGCACTTCGTTTTTCTTATCATTATTAAATTTATCAATCGTGTTCTCTCTCAGGTGTTTATACCTTTCACATTCATAAATAAAGTGATCTAGATTTTCTTATTTTGTTTACATCCTACATATCCTTCTGCTCTACCAAATGTCTCTGGATGCCATTGAGCTAACTCTGGTGTCCATGTTACTCCACCTGTCTTAATTCTTAACTTCAAGTGCATTGTCTCATTTTTTTATATTATTTAATTTTGCTCTTTTTTGATTAAATTGTTCTTGGTAAATTCGTTTTCTTTTGCGATTGCACATATCTGTCCTTTTTCTTTGTTTCTCTTGTAATAATAATAATAATCTATATCTTCTTTATAATAATCAGGTTCTAACCACCATTTGACTTTTGTTCTGGCCACCCATCTCATGCTATTTGCTATCCATGTAATTATTTTCCCTTTCCTATTGCAACACTCTGTTGTCTTTATTAGGTCACTGATTACTCTTGTTGAGTCCGCCCACTTCCTAAGTCCTCTATACCTTGCACTGGGTGACAGGATATATTTTCCTTCCACTTGGTGTCACTCCGGAATCACGTTTCAACCAAGTGACTAACGTTGCTAATTCGCGTTGGCTAACTTGTCAACAAACACCGGAAGCTGTCACGAGCCTGAGCTATGGAAAAAAATATATAATAATGAAAAAATAAATTAAAAATTGATGTCAAGTAGGGGGCTACAAAATATTGTTCCGTGGGCCACAATTGGCCCGCGGGCTGCGAATTTGAGACCCCTGGTTTAGATGGACGAGTCCATCTATGTTCGGAAAAGAGGAGAGGGGAGATGAAACATTAATCTATGCTGTCTGAAAGCCACCGTAAGCGTGAACAATCAATTAAGACCCGAAATGGTTGATCAAATCCTTCCAATGATTGCTAAGCCAGAATCCATCTTCTCAGTTCAAATTGTCTCTGTGTTTGTATATGTGGATAGCCTCATGAACGAATCTCTCATGGTAGCCAGATGGCTTGCAAAGAACCTCTGTCTTGGAGAAGTCAATGTCATGTGAGCCTACTGAATTATAACAGTAATCTGCCACGGCCGAGGTGTTGGTCCTACAATGTTTAAGGTCTGCTTTGTGTTCACGAATGCGGTCCGAGACGTGTCGTTTGGTTTCTCCAATGTAACTACTACCACAGAGGCAACTTAGTTTGTAGACACCAGGGTATTGTATGTCCGGAATCACATCTTTTACAGACGGAACCAGATCACGGATTTTATATCATGGAGATCTTTTTTGTGATCCCCGCAATGTAGGGTAAAGTGATGGTTTTGAAAGGCTCCTCAAGAGGGTCCTTCTTCATGGTTTGAGTGATACCTTTGCGGATTGTATAGTCGGAGTAACCATTAGCCTTAAGAGCTTGGTGTACGTGCTTGAGTTCACTGCCTATGTGTTCCTGGTCGGATATGCTTTGGGCTCTATGGTGCAGAGTCTTGATGAGAGAATTCTTCTGTAATGGATGGTGGTGGGAATCCGGTTTCAGATAAGCATCCGTATGGGTAGCTTTCCTGTAGACAGAGTGGCTCATTGAACCATCAGGTCTCTTTTTTATTAGGACATCCAAAAAAGGTAGCTTGCCATCTTTTTCGACAAGAGCAATGCTACTGTCATCATGGATAAAATAGAATATAGCAACAAAATTAAAGAATTACTCGACGATGGCAGCTATACAAAAATAAAAAGAGACCCCACCAACAGCCTCGTCACACAAACCAACAAAATAATTTCTGATTCAACCGCATTAATTGATCAATAAAAAAGAGACCTGATGGTTTAATGAGCCACTCTGTCTACAGGAAAGCTACCCATATGGATGCTTATCTGAAACCGGATTCCCACCACCATCCATTACAGAAGAATTCTCTCATCAAGACTCTGCACCATAGAGCCCAATGCATATCCGACCAGGAACACATAGGGAGTGAACTCAAGCACGTACACCAAGCTCTTAAGGCTAATGGTTACTCCGACTATACAATCCGCAAAGCTATCACTCAAACCATGAAGAAGGACCCTCTTGAGGAGCCTTTCAAAACCATCACTTTACCCTACATTGCGGGGATCACAAAAAAGATCTCCAAAATCTTGAATAAACACAAGATCCAGGTCTGATTCAACAAAATACATAACATCCGTGATCTGGTTCCGTCTGTAAAAGATGTGATTCCGGACATACAGTACCCTGGTGTCTACAAGCTAAGTTGCCTCTATGGTAGTAGTT